TAATTTCCAGTGGCACAATCTTAAATTGCATTTATTATTTTTAGACTGACTTGCTCTCTTAATCTCTTTAGAGACAGTATAACTTAACTAATATTTTTTCCTTTTGAATAATTTTAATGAGAAAACATGTCCATTCAATAGGAATGTGTATGTAAATCACAATGTCACCTATCCTTTTTTTACCATATAAAAAAAATCCAATCTTCAAAACGTCACCGAAGCTTTCTCTTTGATGATAGAAATCAGAGATAGATGGTAAACATAATGAAAGAAAGAAAATAATATGAGGTTATAGGGATAACTACAGAATCCAATGCTTGAATACAAATAATAAGTTGTAAAAATGAGCAGAGAATTATTTAACAGCATCAGATATACCAGATAGTTAGGGATTTTAAGTAACAGTGTCATCAATGGGAGTTGAAAATATGTTGTAGTCACCAGTTGGAGGAAGTGTAAAGTGAAGTAAAGTAAGAAGAGATATAGAAGCCAGGTCCTGCAATGAACAAGAAAAGACTTTAGGAAAGGTTAGCTTAAATTAAAGAATACATGATGCGTATCTTTATTTAAATGTCTGCCAGGTGGTTTTTCCCTAAGAAACTTATGTGTATGGCTTCAAAGGGGAGAAAAAGGACCAGGGTGCAGATTTCAATTCAGCACAAGTAAAACAATGTGAGGAGATGGATACGGAATACCATTGCCAAGAATGCTGGCAGGAATTCAGGTTTTTTGATGAGTGGCCAGAGAATTCCATGTAACTGATATTCAGTAATCTTAGAAAACTATTTCATAGGAAATCCAGCACTCTTACTGTTTCCATTATTTCTTCTTGGTTATAGCTAGTTTCTTGAAATGCTGCTCAAACGATTTATGTCATAATGTTAGAAATGACTCTTAAGACTGTGCTGTATGTCTGCAATTGTTACCATTGCCTTTGTAGAACTTAGGTTCCAAAGTTGCTTCTTGCTCTTAATGTGTGTTTTTTGTGTGTGGTGGGGGGGAGAGGGGGGCTTTATTCCAAAGCTTTTTTTATTATTATCTTAATTTTTTATTTAAAGATTAAAAGTTTCAGGCTGAGAGAGACTTCTTTTACTACAACTTGCTCCTACCAAACTGGGCAGAGAATGTTACTTCTTGGGTTCAAACATTATGCTCTTGACTTGTGGCAAGCCTAGTAAAATAGTGCCAACAACACTATCATAACCATATCTAAGGATGCTTTATTCTTTCAGTTTTTCTACATGGGAAGCCTTCATCAACTATTTATAGACATTTTCTCTTATAGGAAGCATTCATAAAACTGGCCAGGTTTCTGAAGATAGTGTGGGGTAGGACCCATTTAGGTCTTAGCTTGAGATGACACATTTTTGACAGGAGGAATTAGCAAAATGCTTCAAGAAAACAACAACGAACCCAATGGCAAGATGTCCAGGAATTGCTCTGATGCATTATAAGTGCTTTTAATGAATAGTGAGGGACGATTTTTAAAAACAGAGGAAAGGTGTGTCTGATACAATAAAGCTGGTGAAATCAGAAAGCAAATCCAAGAGGATCCCAATGTTATGAGCTTTCTAAGAGGCACGAGCTGTGTAGGAATCCTGCGAACCACAGAAATGATAAATGCTGAGCCCATTGGAACATAATCTCAATCAGCAAGATGCCACTGCTTTCCAGATTTCCTCACAGGGCCCTGCTCATTCCATGCCAAAACTAGCAGTGGATTTCTTCCTGGTAATCTCCCCTAATGCCTTATTCGATTATTGTTGAATCTCAGTTCAAATGCCTCTCTTTGATGAAGTAATCACTGATCTCCCTTCCCTACACAAATGCCTTCTCTGTTTCCATGGCATATGGTTGATGAACTATACTTTTTAGCACTCAGCATCATATCAGTTCTATTAAGTTGATTATGAATATCTGGAGTGTGAGATTTCTGATGGTGCGCATTGTTTTGTAATGTAAAGCATATGAAAGGCACTTCATAAATAAATGTGAAATTGAACTGATACTGGTTGAACAGGTAGCAATCATGAATTCATATACTTGTGTTCTTTTAGACATGACTTTTCAGTCCCTCTATATGTTTGGTTTGAAGTGTGGAATTGATATTACATGCCTGTGCCCATGACTTCTGGAGGGCAAAAGCGCCCTCTAATGTGTTTGACATTCTGTTCCTAACAAAGCTAGAACGATTTAAAGCTCCTGTCCAGAGGACTGTCCCTTTACTGTCCTTTGTTTTTCAGAGCAATTTTATCCTTATTGCACTGGATTCCCAAAAGGGACTGCATAGGGACTTTCTAGTGTCCACTGAGAGGTTCATGTATCCCTTAGCAATATAAAAAATATTTTTGGTCCAGAGAGTTTAAGAGTCCAAACTTTAGAAAACAAAGTCTGATCTGTCATATATAAAGCACAGTTTATAATAAAGATGTATACTTTGGAGTCAGACATACTAGCTACTCTGGGACATTAGGGTAGTCACATACTTTTTGGGAGCCACATTTTTATCTTTTTGTAAAATGAAGGGTAAAAATAGTTGCCTTGCAAGGCAGTCACACAGATTAGAGATAATATTAATGTATATAGTTGACATGTAAGTGTTCAATAAATATTAACTATTATAATATGATCTAGTATTTTTGCTTCCTCCTTTAGGGTACCTAAGTAGGACCTCTCCAGTTTTCAACTCCAGTGTAGCTCCAAGGTAAATTTTATCATCAGGAACCTCTTTGAATCCTTCTTCTCACATCTCTTCAGAGAAGTTCTATAGCAGAGTCTGAATGAATCTAGATATTCATGCAAGGACTCTCAAACAATTCTTGAGGATGGCTCCACACAGCTTCCATCTCCTGCTAAACGTTCTTAGAGACTGTGTAATTTCCTTCTGAAATAGACATCCATGGCATTCCATCCTATACTTGAATACTTCCGTCAACAAGAAACTCATGTTCTTCTACGGTAGCATGTTCCGTCTTTGGATAAATAGGATAATTAGAAATTATTTCTTCAATAGCACTGAAATTTATTTTTCATTGGAGTCTGCCCACTGCCCTTACCTTGTGTCTAGCTGCTTTTAAGTTAGAACAATCTAGTTTGAATTCTGATTCTACTAATTATTAGTTGTGTGAGATTAGACAAGTTACATACTTACTAATCTACAAAATGGGCAAAATTGAAGGCAACTCATAGATGTTTGTTTTAGCAGTGAATGAGCGGGAATATGTGGCATTCTTAATAATTCTTGGCACATGGTAAATGTTAAATATTTGATAGCTATTAAATTAATAGCATATTAATTTCCAGTGGCACAATCTTAAATTGCATTTATTATTTTTAGACTGACTTGCTCTCTTAATCTCTTTAGAGACAGTATAACTTAACTAATATTTTTTCCTTTTGAATAATTTTAATGAGAAAACATGTCCATTCAATAGGAATGTGTATGTAAATCACAATGTCACCTATCCTTTTTTTACCATATAAAAAAAATCCAATCTTCAAAACGTCACCGAAGCTTTCTCTTTGATGATAGAAATCAGAGATAGATGGTAAACATAATGAAAGAAAGAAAATAATATGAGGTTATAGGGATAACTACAGAATCCAATGCTTGAATACAAATAATAAGTTGTAAAAATGAGCAGAGAATTATTTAACAGCATCAGATATACCAGATAGTTAGGGATTTTAAGTAACAGTGTCATCAATGGGAGTTGAAAATATGTTGTAGTCACCAGTTGGAGGAAGTGTAAAGTGAAGTAAAGTAAGAAGAGATATAGAAGCCAGGTCCTGCAATGAACAAGAAAAGACTTTAGGAAAGGTTAGCTTAAATTAAAGAATACATGATGCGTATCTTTATTTAAATGTCTGCCAGGTGGTTTTTCCCTAAGAAACTTATGTGTATGGCTTCAAAGGGGAGAAAAAGGACCAGGGTGCAGATTTCAATTCAGCACAAGTAAAACAATGTGAGGAGATGGATACGGAATACCATTGCCAAGAATGCTGGCAGGAATTCAGGTTTTTTGATGAGTGGCCAGAGAATTCCATGTAACTGATATTCAGTAATCTTAGAAAACTATTTCATAGGAAATCCAGCACTCTTACTGTTTCCATTATTTCTTCTTGGTTATAGCTAGTTTCTTGAAATGCTGCTCAAACGATTTATGTCATAATGTTAGAAATGACTCTTAAGACTGTGCTGTATGTCTGCAATTGTTACCATTGCCTTTGTAGAACTTAGGTTCCAAAGTTGCTTCTTGCTCTTAATGTGTGTTTTTTGTGTGTGGGGGGCGGGGGGAGAGGGGAGGTTTATTCCAAAGCTTTTTTTATTATTATCTTAATTTTTTATTTAAAGATTAAAAGTTTCAGGCTGAGAGAGACTTCTTTTACTACAACTTGCTCCTACCAAACTGGGCAGAGAATGTTACTTCTTGGGTTCAAACATTATGCTCTTGACTTGTGGCAAGCCTAGTAAAATAGTGCCAACAACACTATCATAACCATATCTAAGGATGCTTTATTCTTTCAGTTTTTCTACATGGGAAGCCTTCATCAACTATTTATAGACATTTTCTCTTATAGGAAGCATTCATAAAACTGGCCAGGTTTCTGAAGATAGTGTGGGGTAGGACCCATTTAGGTCTTAGCTTGAGATGACACATTTTTGACAGGAGGAATTAGCAAAATGCTTCAAGAAAACAACAACGAACCCAATGGCAAGATGTCCAGGAATTACTCTGATGCATTATAAGTGCTTTTAATGAATAGTGAGGGACGATTTTTAAAAACAGAGGAAAGGTGTGTCTGATACAATAAAGCTGGTGAAATCAGAAAGCAAATCCAAGAGGATCCCAATGTTATGGGCTTTCTAAGAGGCACGAGCTGTGTAGGAATCCTGCGAACCACAGAAATGATAAATGCTGAGCCCATTGGAACATAATCTCAATCAGCAAGATGCCACTGCTTTCCAGATTTCCTCACAGGGCCCTGCTCATTCCATGCCAAAACTAGCAGTGGATTTCTTCCTGGTAATCTCCCCTAATGCCTTATTCGATTATTGTCACTGCTCTCTGACCATGCACTGTCCCTTCAGCCACTCATTTCCCAAGTGAGTCAGTTCAGAGGAGGCTGAGTGTCCATCAGGACAGAGTCAGAGACCACAGACTACCTTGTTCCACATGAAAAGAAGGAAACAAGGACGAAGAGAGCAAGGGAAGCCTCAAAGTTTTGCTGGAAACTTCCTTATCTACTGGATTACTGGCTGGATGCAAACACAGAAAAGGGATATGAGGTGGCCGGAAGGTCTCTCTACTTGACTGGCAAAGGGTTGCTGGTGAGGGGGAGGAGGGGCCAGCAGGAGGGTGGACTGCGAGCGGCAGTACACCGCAGGATGCTGTCGCCTCTGCCCTGGCTGTACGTTATTCTATGGTGAGTAAGATTTGTTTTCTTATTTTCTTTTTTGGCACAAAGTAAAGGGAAAGCACACACCCACTGGGTGACCTCTATACCAAATCACGAAAGAAGCCTGGGTGGTGTGGCATGTATTTGTGGTGCGGTAGGTGAGAGTGAATTGAATGGCATATTTTCTCTGAGGCTATGAGTGAGGATCCTTGACTATCTACTCACAGGGTAGAAAATGCCTTAGGGAAACTTGAAGATGAGGGAAACTTCTACTCAGAGAACATCAGTCGGATCCTGGACAACTTGCTTGAGGGCTATGACAATCGGTTACGGCCGGGATTTGGAGGTGAGTGGCAGCATCCTTACTGCACCAAACATCTGTGTTCCCCCCACTTACTGCTGTTCCAAGGCCCAGAGACCTCACGAAGACAGCAGAGAAGTGAGGTGCAGGGGCGGTGGGAGAGGCCATGTGTCTGTACCCCTCCAGTCCTTGCCCCTTCTTCAATTCATGACCTTAAGCGTAAGTTATATGAAGTCTCTAAACCTCAGTGTCCTTGACTCTAGTGCGGGTGGAAAAACAGTGCTTGCCTCATAGAGTTGTGTGAGTGTGGAATGCGATCCCCCACGTAAAACACTTCCCTTTGTTTTTGTTCCCTTAAAGCTACCAATATATCTTAGTTATTGTTATAGTTTTATTAGAATACCAACCTCGTTCTCTTCTATTTCTTAAATTGCCCAAATTGATGAGAATTAGTTTGAAATAAGGCAAATGATGTGAGCTTTCAGAATTGAAAAACCAATGGACTCCTGCTGCTGGGGTTACTTTGGGTGGGCTGCAGCTTCCGGCCAAGAGATGGGGCTCTGTGCAAGTCATTGAGTTGAGGCCCCTTCACATCACTGGTGATAATCGCCCCCATCTCTCCGGGCTAATTCCAGGTGCTGTCACCGAAGTCAAAACGGACATTTATGTGACCAGTTTTGGGCCAGTGTCAGACGTGGAGATGGTGAGTGAACTGTGAGTGAGGAGGGTACTTTTATTTGGGAGCGGAGAGGGCTAATTCTCAAAACGAACTATGATTAGCTTTGTCACCATGCTTGGCTCCAAATCCGCAATGCAATATGTGTGTGCATGCTGGGAGGGCATGGCCTTTTCAGCGGATGACTGCTGTCATCTCCTTTACATTTCACTAAGGGCTCTGCTTGAACACTACAATTTGAGGGACTTCTTAAAATGATACCCTTTCTTCTATCCAACTTGAATTTTTCCCTGCAAAGAGATTTTCCCAATCTTTGTGAAGTCCTAGTAAATTTTTGGAGTGGCAAAAAGAAAAACTCTCAAGATGTTATTCCTTGTAAGAGTATACTGAGAATATCTATGTATCTTGAAACATAACTGTCTTTTTGTAGTACATGATTCTCAGTATATTTTATTAAGACAGTAAATGGAGTCCTCTGAAAAGGCTCATGCATTCCACCTTTTACTGCAAACAGACCTTGGAGGTGTTCTGGGGACTCTGTTCCCGGTACAGATGGCTGTAGGACTTGGGAGAAGGTATTTATAGTAAGTGGCAATAAAAAGCTGAACCAGTCTTCTAGAATGAAGTAGAAAGAGAAGCAAGAAAGAAAAGAAGCAAGAGAGGGAGAAAGGGAGGAGGACTTCAAGAGATAAATGTCTTCAGAGTTGAGGGAAAGGAGGGGCAGCAGTATCCAGAATCCTGTTAGTTTACTCTAATTTTTTCATTGAGTCTGACTCACCTCAAGTATAAATAACCACAACCATATTCTACTGTATCATTGAAGTCTGGGGATACTTGGAACTTTATTGTATGCATGTGTCATCTCATTTTTAAAGCATATTTGTACAACAGAGCCCTGTTACAGCCTTGGTTATTATTATATGGATATATTTTGTGTCAAATTATATTTTTAAAATAAAATCACTACTGCTAGTAATGGGTCTTATAAAGGAACATATGAAGTAGGCAAAGCAATTATTGGCAATGCTTTGATATAATTACAAGTTGTTACTTATCACTGACTTTTGCAATTTCCCTGACCAAAATTCTTAATATTTTTAATGTTATTTCAAAAATTATAAGTTAAAACTTATAATTTTTATTATGCATACTTAAAGGATGCTTTATTTGCATAATCATGGCAGCATTCACTTTTCTCTGAGAACAAGAAAAAATAATCATGGTGTGCAGCCAGAGTATGCTTATCAAGTGACGTTTACCTATCCTTGGGACCTTCCTAAATGGCACCATGATGCTTGGACTTTTGAAGGTTAGACTGATGGTGGGAAGGCCAGCACAAAACCTAGACTAAATCTTTTCATATTTTTCTGAAATTGCTAGGTTGATAGATGGAGAGATCACCATATGATAGAAAAAAAGGAAGGTATTGAGGAAGGTCCATGTAGAAGAGGGAGCTTTGCACAACCGAGCTCTATCTTTTATAATAATACAAACTTTGAGTTTGAGAAAAATAGTAATTCACTGAAATCCTAACTTTCCTGATAGGTTATTGTCATAAGATGTTGCTTTATTTCTTAAGTTTTAGGATTGGGTATATGTGCTAGTTAGTAAACTATTCTTACTAACCATCTCCCTGGCCTGTGTGATTTTTTATTTTCTCTTAGGAGTATACAATGGACGTTTTCTTTCGCCAGACTTGGACTGATGAGAGATTGAAGTTTGGGGGGCCAGCTGAGATTTTGAGCTTAAACAACTTGATGGTCAGTAAAATATGGACACCTGATACTTTTTTCAGAAATGGCAAAAAATCAATTGCTCACAATATGACAACCCCTAATAAGCTCTTCAGGATTATGCAAAATGGAACCATTCTATACACCATGAGGTGAGCTTTCCCCAATTCTACTTCCTCAGTGCAAATGCTTTGTCCATGACATTAACTCAGAACCATTTCTTTCAATGTTCCTAGGCTTACCATCAACGCTGACTGTCCTATGAGGCTCGTTAACTTTCCTATGGATGGGCATGCTTGTCCACTCAAGTTTGGGAGTTGTAAGTTACAAAAGGCTTCTGAAAATCAAGTAATGCATTGGTTTTAGTCAGATACTGGAATGTAAATGAGAAATACTACTATTGGCACTTTTGGTGTGATTCAGGAATATACTTATTTAATCATGCCTGTCAGTCTTAAAAATAGAGGTTTTCATCACCCAGTTTAAAGAAAAATATTAAAGAGAATCTATGTTTGTATTTCACTTTTATACAAACAAGATTTGCTTTGAAAGAGAACAAAAACGGAAGTCAAATTCACCAATATGTTTTAATTTGTTTTAAAAATTCAGATGCTTATCCCAAAAGTGAAATCATATATACATGGAAAAAAGGACCGCTTTACTCAGTTGAAGTCCCAGAAGAATCTTCAAGCCTCCTCCAATATGATCTGATCGGACAAACAGTATCTAGTGAGACAATTAAATCTAATACAGGTAAGAATTTGACAAATATAGGATGTAATCCTGTAAGGTGATTTCAGTGCATATTCTCAAAATATCTTTTTTTTCCTCTGCATTAGGCATCCTTTGGTAGGCTAGCTATTTTGAGGTGATGAATAATTTTCTTTAAAATTGATTTCGCAACCACATGCATGTAAAGATTTGTGTAATCTTGCAATAAGTAGTTTTGTGTATATATGACATGAAGAACCCCACCAAAAACAATGAGCTGTGGTTATCTATCATCTGCTGATCAAGTAGCTTTGTCATACATAGAAATATGCCTGTTTGTTTTCTTCCATCACACGTTAATTTAAAGACCTGCAAGATGTATTTCCTGCTGTATTCTTTTTGCACAGCAATAATACTGATACACATGTCTTCCAACAGGTGAATACGTAATAATGACAGTTTATTTCCACTTGCAAAGGAAGATGGGCTACTTCATGATACAGATATATACTCCTTGCATTATGACAGTCATTCTTTCCCAGGTGTCATTCTGGATTAATAAAGAGTCTGTTCCGGCCCGAACTGTCTTTGGTATGTTTCTCTCTTTGGTCTCTACTTCCATTCATCCTCCAGCACTCATTGTTTGTGTACTTTAGTGGAACATCCATACTGGTGCACTTTTTTAATCCACAGAGGAAATAGACTCCTATCTCACTCAGATACATGCATCATGTAAAATGACCCTCATTTTATCACAAGTTGTGTGGTGAATCAACAAAAAATTTATCTCAGCAAGAATTCTGGCTGGTTTCCTGTGACTTCCATGTGCTCTACATAGGAGGTCTGCTTTCTAAAATCTTGATTTGCTTTTTCATAAATAAGGAAAAGCAGAAAAGTAAATTCTGGCAGGTAAATCCATGAAGACAAAGGCTAAAATACTGAAACCACTAATATGTGAATTACAGTTCACTTTTATTAGGTTGAACCATTTTTCTAGGCCTAAAAATAGTTAAATAACATCAATTTCCCATGGTTGTACCTGAATCTTTAGTTTCACTTATAGTGTATAGAATCATTACTAGTTTTGATGCAAAAAAATGAAATAAAAAAAAGAACTGTGAAAGAACTATCACCAGTAATAAAATCCAACTTTTTCTGAGTTTGCATGATTATGAATTTACTAGTTCATAGGGAATGACTTGAGTTAAATTGAAATCTCAGATGAATTTTGACTTTTTAATTAAAATAGATCTCTTTCTGGAAATTTTAAAATAATATCTATATAATCATGTTGAGCATCTCCTAATTATATAAATTCCCCAAGTTATAATTCAAGACAAAAAACTGCTGGCAGAGGAGTGGTGAAATTATTTTCTCATGAGTAAATATTTTAGCTTAATATCAAGCTACAAATTAAAAAAAAGAACCTAATTTTATTATTCATACTAGAAAGACTTCTTAAGTATGATGAAAGATATCACCAGCTATTAAAACTGATCAGAAGTTCAAGGTTTTATTACTAAAATGAAAATAACTTGCTGTTTTCTAAAGAAGAAAACAAGAATTATTCATGACTTAAACTTACACTAATTAAAATTAAACAATTTTTGAAAAATTTTTTGACTAACTACAGTGTACATGTCATCAAACTGGGTATGATAATAATTGAATGATTTTAAAACAACGAAGTAATAACAAAACTTACACTTACAGAATGTTTAATCCTCTCTACCAACATGTTCTCATTTGATCTTGTTATTGGATTCCAAATGCTAATACTGCGTTTCTCATTCTTTTTTGTTTTAGGGATCACCACCGTTTTGACCATGACCACTTTAAGCATCAGTGCCCGGCACTCCTTGCCAAAAGTGTCATATGCAACCGCCATGGATTGGTTCATAGCTGTTTGCTTTGCTTTCGTCTTCTCTGCTCTTATTGAGTTTGCAGCTGTCAACTACTTTACCAATCTCCAGACACAGAAGGCCAACAGGATGGCACAGACTGCAGCCTTGGCCCCTGTGACAATATCAAAAGCAACTGAACCCTTGGAAGCTGAGATTGTTTTGGTAATTGTTTACTTTTTTTAAATGTTAACTCTCACTAGTGTAGGAAAAGACAGGCCAAACAGTGATCACAAACAACTAACTAGTCCAAAAGTTATATTAGTTGAGTACTGCTTACAGAACTCTGGTTCCAAGACAACTTCCTCTCCAACTTCATAGAAAAAAAACAAGAACAATCCTTCACTTATCTTTGCTATAAACCTTTGGCATTGTTCTTTCATGAGGTCGAAATATGAATATTAGGTTCCTTGAGTGCTGAGTCACAAGCTGTTTTTTGATTCACATAAAAACATTCTCATGTTCACACTCATATATTAAATACATGTATCTTAATGCGCTTTTATTCAAAGACATATCAGTGAGAAATACTTACAAAATTTAGTTTAAATTTGCTATGGCTAAGCTCTGGTCCCCAAAGGATTTTTAATAAGAAACAAATGATAGCATTAATAATTGAAGGTCATAAATGTACCCCCAAATTTCAATTTCACATGAGGAAATTTCCACAATTAAGCTGCACACACTTCTAAAAATTGAATTATAAAACTGATTAACAAGTATAAATTTGTATTTCAGTACAAACTCGAAACAGTAGCTCTTGAAAATTGGAAAATGTAGTCTGCAAAATAAAGTAGTACAGACACTTTGAACTGAAAATTTCTTCATAATTGATCACTTTTTACAAACATTTCCAAATTGTAGAGCCATGCCTAGCCCAGCTAATCCTCAGTTAACTTTGATGATAAAAATTATAAAGCTCTGTGTATTTCACTGCTCAAATACTCAGGCATTTATGGGCTAAAAAGACAATAATTTTTTCACTGAAACTTTTCTCTTTGATCAACTAAGAAGCTTGGTTTGAGAATTTATATTTTCTCCAAGGGATAAGATAAGGCCATTCCCATGGTAAGGGGAAATACATAAAATTTTTTTTTTCTTGAATTAGCCCTCATTAAAAAAAAAAGTTTGCCATCCAGTGATTCAATCTAATTCCTTTGCTTACAAATGAAAAATAGAGTCTCTGGGGGAAAATATTGATTACTAGTTGGTAGAAAAACTAGGAATCGGTTCTAGAACCCCTGAGATCCACAGCTTTCTGAGGCTGAGGCCCTCCTCTCCCTAACAATTCCTCAATGACAAGAATACATAGGAGTGCATACCACTGGATAAAAATAAAAAACATCTTCAGAGTGTAGATAAGCTTATTCCTGAAATTCTTCCCTTGACTTAATGATTTTTTTTATACATACGTGTTTTGAAAGGTCACAAAATTACAAATGTTGTAATAAAAAATGCTATGCTGAAAAATCAGTCCAAAGCATTTGAAAATCATGTTTTCATAAAAGATAAATTCTGAATATTTTTGAGAATTATCTTATGTGTCTAAAAATAAGTGATTATGTTATAATCTATTTACATAAGTATGTAATCGACATTTTGTCCAAAGGTCATATATTATCCTAACATATATCTATAAAAGAAGAATAATTAACATTTATCAGAATTCAGTTTAACAGTTTCTTATTTGAGATGTACAGTAAAAATGAAAAGACAAATTCATAAGAAATAGGGTGAAAAAGTAATTCCAATGACTTTGAATATGCTCATTGATCTGATACTGAGATAAAAAGGAAGACCAATTACTTTATTTCAACTCTTGAAATAAATATTACTGAGAGGAATATGATTCCACATCCTCAGAGAAAGCATAGAGTTATCATTCTCTTAGTCCATTATTTTAAAGGTGTAACTTACTAATAAAATAAAATGTAAGATCTCACATCTTTCTATAAACTGTCTTCTGCAGTTCTAAAATAGTAACATATAATGAGCAGGTCCTTTTGGAAGCTGAATAAGAAATTGCATTTAAATCTTCTCAAAGTACTTTTTTTCTTGCAAGTTGAATTTTTTTCTTATGAAATAGTATACTTTTAAACCTGGGTCCACCTAAAATATTTTAAGGCAATGAAAAAGGAGAATTTTGTTTCCAGAGGCTAGATCAAAATGTAAAAATAAAAATAAAAGCAAAAATAACCAAACCTAACAATACAAACCTTGTAAGTATCAGAAATAAATATAGATGATTACATAGGACATTTACATTTTACTTATTCATGTCGAAACTTGGCAGTTTGCCTTATATAATGTAAAGGAACAAACATAAATTACACATTTGCAACTTATATAGCACAGTGGTATATTTTGATTGCAAGGTAATTTTTTTCTTTCAAATACCATGACATTTTAAAATGCCTATTCAGTTGTAATCAAAAAACATTATTTGAGTAAGTTGGACATTGAAAGAGCAAACCAGTGTGGTGAATTTGAAGTGAAAATGAGTGCTTAGATATTTCATGTGATTCTAAGTTGTATATTTTAATGAGGTCTTTGCTTTTCACAGGAAACTACTTAGAATGAATTTGGGGAAAGTTTATCTCTTTGATTTTGACCTTGAAATTTAATATAGTACTGACAAAGACACTCAGGCCTTTTAAATCTAGTCCTCAAACCCAAAGAGGCACCTAAAACTAAATCCTCAGAAGTGCTCTATAGACTAATTATCTTTCTGTTTTTAAGGCTTATGGAATTGGGGGATTTATTTTTTTTAGATTTTAAGAATTGACCACAACTTCTTTCCTGCTTATATGACACCTATCCTTGTTGTTTTTATGTAGTAGGCTATCTTAGCATAAAAAGTTAGTCCCATCTTCACGTTTCAGAACTTATTATGTGTTCAGGGTGTATTTTGCAGGTGAGACCAAGGTTGGACCATTCTCTCTTTTTGTATGTTTTGCTCATTTCCCTGTTATTTGAAAGGTCTAAGCCCTCACCACTATGTTCCTAAGAATAAATTCCCTTTACCATCACCACCACCTATCAACACATTCAATGTGTCTTCTCTTTTTCACAAGAGGCCTGATGTTCTTGGTAAATTATCTACAAACAAAATTGACCAAAATTTAATTAATCCGGACAATAGCTGTATTTATACTGATTACATTGTTTATTCACTTATTTTTTTTCATCTTGCACCAGTTTATTGAGTACCTATGTACTCATTGAATTGTTCATAGCATATGTACATGTTAAGTAATTTTACGTGCCAGACCCTTTGTAGAGTGCAGAGGATACGTTAATGAATGACATCAATAGAGCCTCTTCCCTCATGGAGCTTCTTGTCGAGCAGGAAGAGGAGCCAGTGAGGTATTGTGAAAAAGGCTGTGGTTAGAGGGGCAGAGGAGACTGAAGAAGCCTCTCAAGAGTACCTAACTCAGTCTAGAGGGGTCATCATTCTGGAGGAAGTGATGCCTAAGCTGAGAACAGAAAGATGAGCCTGGCCCTGCTTGAGATGCACTAAGTCAGCTGCTAGAAACTTGGGCACAGAGAAGGAAAAGGGACATCTCTCCTCTCTGTACTCTTTTACAAGGTTGAGCTGTCTTCTGGGTCCTTAACCATTTGCCCCCCACCTATATAGAGAGATAGGAAGCACAGGATACTGATTTACCTCCCCTGTTCTAAATATTGTCAAGATTCTATAAGAACAATCAGTAATCTTCAGAATTAAGAATTGGATTAAGACAGTCAGAGATTGAGCAACAGGATAATTGTGGTGCTCTTTCCCCATGTTATGCCATTGTATGAATTTTAGAGAGGGTAGGGTAGATTAGATGAGGGGTGTAGGTAGGTAGCTCTTTCCTCATGCTTTCTATTAGATTAGATGAGGGTGTAGGTAGTTAGCTCTTTCCTTATGCATTCTATTAAATCCACAACCAATATTCCATTCTGCACCCTCCGAACATTCCAATACAGTCTCCAGACATGCCCCCTACCACCACTGACCCATCAGATTGGTGCCAATATGCTTCTTCTCTGAAGAAATCCCAGAATTGTCTCTGCTCCCAATTTAACAGCTGTAATGTTAATGCAAGAAAATTTGATGCAGTACTTGCTTTCTCCATAAATTAATATGATAATTTTTTTAAGTCAGGTATTAAATACTTTCAACATTTTTTCTCTTATTTTTGGTGCCCCTGTTTGCTGGTTCTTTTAAGCCGATGCTTTGTTTGCACCTTGAGTAATACAGCCCTGGTTAGAGTATCTCCTTGAGAAGTGATTCATTGTCTCCTCCTCTTTAGCATATTAGACTCACTGAATGTTCTATCAAAATTGCTTTAAGTACCACCCAAATGCCTTATTCCTACATCAAATAATTGATTGTCATACAGTCCAGTTTGACTCAAAGTATCTTTGCAATATGGCATTACTTAAAACAAAGCAGTGCTCTAAAAATATTCATGGCAGGATGGCACTCAGCAGCAGGGGAGCCTTGGAAAAATTCAAAAACCACAGGTGTTCCACTCAAAAGAGTGACAGCCCCAAGCTGAGCCCTCATCTGGACTCTGACAAAAGCCTATTTTACCATCAGCTGAAGCTGCTGGCTTACAATAGAGCAGACAGAGTCTGATGCAAACCTGTAGTTTGAATGGGTTGCAAAACTGTCTTTCTTTTCATTTCAGAAATTCGATGTGATTCTTCTAAATTGGGTCTGGTCTCCTGTACTGCCAATTCCTAATTATTCAGGAGCTGATTATCCAGTGTGTGGGTTAGCCATGCCTCTGGCATTTCCTTGAGCATTTTGCATTTGCTGCCTGCTAGAAATCCCCCCAACCACTGCTTGTCAGTGGGACAGTTGTAACTCTAAACCAGTGATTCCCAGTATGGGTGAATTTCCCCCTTCAGAGGACATTTAGCAAGGTCTGGAGATAGTTTGGTTGTTAGAACTCTGGGATGGTGGGGGTGTGTGTTCAGGCTCTTGGGAGTATGGGCCTGGAATGCTGCTCATCATCCCATGGTGTAAAGCACAATGTGCCACAGCAAGGAGTTGTCCTACCCCAAATTTAACCCATCTACAGCTGAGAAACTGTGCTCTAACCTTCAAGCTGATGAGAGGAGAACATAATTGTTAAGAGTATGATCCTGGCATCCGACATGGATTGACTTCAGGTGCTGCTGCTTATCGTGTGAGCTTTCTGCTAAAGCCTTCATTTGCTCATCTCTAAAATGAAAACAATATTATTACATCATAGAATCTTTCTAGGGATAAGCAAAGTCATGCGTGCAAAGTGCTGTGTACTGTTTACCAGTAGTAAGCATTTAGATATAGTTTTTATAAAACAATATACTAAAATATAATGTAAAATAATCAAAAGACTTTTGTTCCCTTTGCTGACTAAGAAATCGTGGAAAATATTTAGATTTCCATCCCCTTGTTGACTCAGCATAGGTCTATTAAGCTTATACTGTGCTCTGTGCACTGGCTAGGTGCTGTGTAGTACTTACATATCAGAATCATATGTCCTCCACCATTAAGGAGGTTTTGTGTCAGGAAAGGAGATAAGGGGCAGCTGGAATAATATTTACAAGGAAGGATGTGACTGGAAACAGCTAAAACATTTATAACAGCTGAGAGGCAGAAAACTGGGAAAAATATACATGTCTTTCATTTTCATTCTCAAATTCTTAAAGAGAAAAAACTTATGGAGGAAGTAATAAATGTCCGTAACTTTAGAGATGGAAACTTGAGGCCCAGGGAGGGCGTGTGGCATCTCTGACATGTCTCAGTCACATGGCTGGTAAGTTGTATATATGGAATTGCAATCTAAGGGCTTTCTGACTCTCCTTTTAACTCCTAAGCAACCCTCCATAGATTGTTTGGGGAAGTAGAGGAGGAAAAAGGGTAATCCTATGTAGGGGGTCTTTAATTTAAGCACAGGATAATGCATAAATCTGTTACGGTGTTTAGTTTCAAATGATGTTGTTTAACTCTGGACAGAGGTTATGTGCCAATCCTCATCAAGTTATCTGGGACACTGTGGCAATGCCAAGAGATTGACAAATAACTTTTTTCCCCACGTCTCTAAAAGAGGGGGAGATAGAATGATGACTTACTTTTATGATAGATGATGTTTAACTTAACTTTTTCACCTCTGTGACTTTTCATGTCTGCCTCTCTATCTCCTAAAACAGAAAGCAATACAGTTTTTAGACAGGCAATGCATGCTGCTAAAAGTCAAGATGAATACAGAAAATCTGTTCTCAAGGATTGCCCTCTTTCTACTCCATCATGATCCTTAGAAATGTTACTAGAGTTAAATACTTTAATGTTCCATATACCTAGGAAAGAATTTCTCTTTCTGGAGAATAAAGCAGTGACACATTTTGTACTTTCAGGTGGAGAATATTTTAATAGCATATGTAATGGATGAAAATGCAAATTAGAATCTGAGATACATGATAGAAAGCTCTTGGAAGATGATGCTATGTTTATTCTCTAAGAGGGGCAGGATGCATTGAGAACAAAATATCACTACTCTGGTCCTATCCGTGTACTGTCTGGTGACCCCAGACACAGTAATCCTCAGCTGTTACATAGTTTTAATAGACAGTGTCACTTATGTCCAGTCCTAGATCAGTGGGCTGGGCCCTCCGCTCTTTTAAATTCTCTTCTACCTCCAAGACCTATGATTTACTTCTGTCCAGAGAGCCAAGCACAGCTCTGAGCCAATAGATAACAAAGACATCCTTTGCTTGAAATTTGCCGTGATCATGTCAAGTCAGACTTAACGACACAGATTCATTTTTGCTTTTGAAGAAACAGATTTTCCCATGGCCCCTAAAAGCACACTGAGTCTGTGCTCTCTCTGATGACTATTATTTAGGTACTCAGTAACTTCCACAGCAAATCCAACAGCAAAATTCAGGAGGGGAACACAGGGAGAAGCTCTCAGGGTCGTTGTCTCCTGCAGCTCAAATGTCACCGCCTCGGCGGGTCGTTCTGGTCCTGTGGCTCAGCCAGCGTAGTGGGGCGGCCGCCTCATCCTGTTGCCGCAGGGCTGCCGGCTGCAGCTGCGGGAGTCTGCGCACGTGGGTAACGTGCCCTGCCAGGCATCAAAGTGGCGATTTTGCTGCCAGAGAGGAAACAAGGCAGTTTTACAAGAGCGGCACTAATGTACAGCAATTGTTTGGAGGCAGAGACCCAGCAAGGACAACCTGGCTGCAGGAAGAGTGGCTGTTATATGATGTAGGCAAGAAAGATAAGAATCAGAGGAAGGCCCCTGTGTCTCCCAGCACGAAAGGAGTCTAAAGCTTTCTGAGTCTCTGGACTCAGTCCAATACTTTAGAGCAAAGATGAGAAAATGGTGGAATGAAAAAAGCCCCGTGCTGACCAGAGTGGCTTATTACCAGCTGTGTGATTTTGGGTGAGGCATTACTCTACCTGGACCTTTGCCTTCTCACTTACCAGTTAGTATGCTAAGTATCTCCGTCAAGACTAAAGATGGCTGTCTTATGATTTTCAGTGGAACAGAAAATCTAATGATAGGAAATATCTTATAACAACTCTTAGGTTAGTAAAGGAATCATTTTTGTGGTGATTTAAAATGGAGGGAGACAAGAAGAGAAGTTCAGAATGGGGCAGAGAGCTCTCAACACAGAACTTCTGGGCTAAGAGGCAGTTGCATTTCAAACCATGAATAGTCATTCTACTCAATGTAAAGGTATTTATTCATTGTTACTGAGTTTTGACATACATGAGTACCTTCATTTTTGTTGTTGTCTCAGCTGGTTTAAATTTCAGAGTGTGCGAAGATAAGGTTATAGGCTGGGAAAGTGTCCAGAAGAATGACATCAATCAACTGAGCTGTTATTTTCCTTACTAACTAATTATTTACACATTCCAAATTGAAAACCCCTCTCATTGCACACACTCATTGCCCTATAGGCTTATGCATAACCAGGCTGTGGATAAGCCTTTGAAACCTGCTTCATCTTTTCCTAATTGTCCAATGCTCAACACAGTTTCTGGGATGTGGAAATGTGTGGCTCAATTGTTGGTTTATTAAATTATAGTATGTTGGATGGGAGCAAATCATTTATTAGAAATTTGTTTTGCCACTTTCTCAGAAGAGTAGCACCATCAAATATTATGAAGTATTTGCTGATATTTTATCTTATATAGATAAAGAATCAATAACAATCTATCAACAATGAAAACACATGACTAAGTAAGTGATCTTTGCTTTTTCAACTACAAGGAATATTTATGTCTTATTTCCACACAGCACCCTGAGTCCAAGTTTCATCTGAAGAAAAGAATCACCTCTCTGACCTTGCCAATAATTCCACCCCCTGAGGCCAACAAAGTCCTAACTAGAGCTCCCATCTTACAATCAACACCTGTCACGCCTCCACTACTTTCTCCAGCTTTCGGAGGCAGCAGTAAAATAGACCAGTATTCTCGCATTCTCTTCCCTGTTGCATTTGCAGGATTCAACCTTGTATACTGGGTAGTTTATCTTTCCAAAGACACAATGGAAGTGAGTGGCAGTGTGGAATAGCCTGCAGCCAGGACATGTACTTCATAAGTTCTCATTCTCTGATTTCTTTTGCATAGCATTGAGACTTGTATAGATGCTTTTCTGAACATGAAATAAAAATTGTAAACCTGTAACATATATCTCTGAGTAAGCGTATATGGGTCAAAAGACAATAACGTTAATCCTCAATACTGGAAGTTGAAGGTTGCTATAAAATGTGACTTTTCTGTACATTAGAGAAAAATTTTATAAGCGATTAAGTTGGATTCAAGATGAATTTGCTGATCTTTATCCATTGTTCAGTACTTTAATTGCCACTGTGAATAGCATTTACCACAAAGCAGATAAAGTGAGAAATGCTAATACTTCTAAAGATTGCCTTAAAATATACATTTATTTTGGCTTAGTTTTCAAGTGAGCAAAATATAAATAGTCTAAATATTTATCAATAAGTTAATACTAGCATCTTGGAAGCATTTATGCTAGTAAAATGGCTTTCATCATCATTTAAAGCCTATATTGAATTTAGCCATTTGTTTTTAATCTTGCTGTGCTATTTTACCTCAATAAAGTATGGTGTTTGTACACAAAGGAATTATACATAGATCATGAATTATGTATGCATATGTACATAGCTTTAGCTGGACTGCAATATAGTGTTGTTTTATCTTATTAAGCTCTTTTTAAAAAATAATATACTCACTGTAATTCCATGAAGTTGTAGAAAAAAATAGTGATTATAAGGAAGACTTCAATATTATGACTATGGTTATATCTTATACTTTCTACCTTTCTAAGTGTACCACTAAGTAAAATAACAATAAGCATGGTTCTCTGGATCTATTTAGTAAAGCTGGGGAGAAGAGCTTCCTTAAATATGGAGAAATGAAGTGGTTACCTCTACCCTATCATTAATGTCCCTGGTGATTCTGAGAGGTAGACAATACGGGGCAGCCAGGCTTAGTCACCTAGCTCTAAGGAAAGGCTTGAGTTTGTGTTCAAATAGTCAATCCCTCATCTCCTTCCTGCTCACTCAATAAACTTTCAGTTATGAGATGAAATAAAGTCTAACACTCTGATGTATAATATGGTGACTCTAGTTGATAGCACTGTATTGTATAATTGAAATGTGATGATAGAGTGGAACTTAAATGTTGTCAACAACAGCAACAAAAACAGTATGGGAGGTGATGGGTATGTAATTAACTCAGTGGGGGAATCCTTTCACTATGCATATGTGTATCAAATCAGCACACTGTATACTTTACACATCTTGCAATTTTTATCAGTTATACCTCAATAAAGCTGAAAAAAGTGAGTGAGACTTCCCTTTTCCCTTTCTACTATTCCAGCTCTTCCCAAGGCTAACTTTAGCCATATTCTTCCTACATAGAATAGTCTTAGGCAAACAGGAACTAGGGTTAAGAGAAAGCATGCATCAATAAACTCCTCATTAGCCATTATTGGGTCTTAAACATCATTTAGATCACCCCTAGCTCTGAACCTAGAAAGAAATATTTTGGAATTTCTACTCTTGTCTTTATGTGGGAGAATGCAAAAATTCTACAGCCAAACAAATTAGAGTGTAATTGAAATAGCATGTTACTAAGGGTGAGCAGACTGAGATTTCCTTCCAACTTTGCTCTTCATTAGCTCCATGACCAAATCTCCGGGAGATTTAGCTCTATTCCAATCTATAGGATGAGGGGGAAGTGTTAGATGTCTTCTAAAGATCCCTCCATTTTGCATAACTTATGTTTGTTTCATTACTATACTTTTTCTATCTAAGTTAAGTTATTCTAATTATATAGGGCCTGCTTCTGTTTTAGGGAGTACATTAATAAAATGCTAGCTATGTGTTAATCATCTTTTATGCTATATTTAATCTATGTAAACATTTAATCTTCCTCACAAACCTATGAAGTATATACTACTATTATATGCATTATATGCATATAAAGATGAGAAACCAAGTCACAAAGAAGGTGAATAATTTTGTTCAAAATCAAGTGGCACTCAAGTGCTATATTTCAAAGTCCTACCCAGGCAGTTTGAATCCATAGCTTGTTCACCTAACATAACCATGCATGTCCTTATTTAATTCCCTCCAGAATGTTCTCATTTTGTCTTTCACTTCCTGAAATAATTTTCTTGGTGTTCTGCGGAGATTACTCTCAGTCAACATTTATACTTGTAGCTGAAACTGATAAGTAAAACCAATTAAAGCATTAATTATAGGCATAAGATTTCTCTTCAGTGAAGGAATCTTGAAAAAAATCCATAAAATTTTTGAATTGCTAAGGATTCTAGATAACAGTTTTCTTTTGCATAGCATTGAGACTTGTATAGATGCTTTTCTGAACATGAAATAAAAATTGTAAACCTGTAACATATATCTCTGAGTAAGCGTATATGGGTCAAAAGACAATAACGTTAATCCTCAATACTGGAAGTTGAAGGTTGCTATAAAATGTGACTTTTCTGTACATTAGAGAAAAATTTTATAAGCGATTAAGTTGGATTCAAGATGAATTTGCTGATCTTTATCCATTGTTCAGTACTTTAATTGCCACTGTGAATAGCATTTACCACAAAGCAGATAAAGTGAGAAATGCTAATACTTCTAAAGATTGCCTTAAAATATACATTTATTTTGGCTTAGTTTTCAAGTGAGCAAAATATAAATAGTCTAAATATTTATCAATAAGTTAATACTAGCATCTTGGAAGCATTTATGCTAGTAAAATGGCTTTCATCATCATTTAAAGCCTATATTGAATTTAGCCATTTGTTTTTAATCTTGCTGTGCTATTTTACCTCAATAAAGTATGGTGTTTGTACACAAAGGAATTATACATAGATCATGAATTATGTATGCATATGTACATAGCTTTAGCTGGACTGCAATATAGTGTTGTTTTATCTTATTAAGCTCTTTTTAAAAAATAATATACTCACTGTAATTCCATGAAGTTGTAGAAAAAAATAGTGATTATAAGGAAGACTTCAATATTATGACTATGGTTATATCTTATACTTTCTACCTTTCTAAGTGTACCACTAAGTAAAATAACAATAAGCATGGTTCTCTGGATCTATTTAGTAAAGCTGGGGAGAAGAGCTTCCTTAAATATGGAGAAATGAAGTGGTTACCTCTACCCTATCATTAATGTCCCTGGTGATTCTGAGAGGTAGACAATACGGGGCAGCCAGGCTTAGTCACCTAGCTCTAAGGAAAGGCTTGAGTTTGTGTTCAAATAGTCAATCCCTCATCTCCTTCCTGCTCACTCAATAAACTTTCAGTTATGAGATGAAATAAAGTCTAACACTCTGATGTATAATATGGTGACTCTAGTTGATAGCACTGTATTGTATAATTGAAATGTGATGATAGAGTGGAACTTAAATGTTGTCAACAACAGCAACAAAAACAGTATGGGAGGTGATGGGTATGTAATTAACTCAGTGGGGGAATCCTTTCACTATGCATATGTGTATCAAATCAGCACACTGTATACTTTACACATCTTGCAATTTTTATCAGTTATACCTCAATAAAGCTGAAAAAAGTGAGTGAGACTTCCCTTTTCCCTTTCTACTATTCCAGCTCTTCCCAAGGCTAACTTTAGCCATATTCTTCCTACATAGAATAGTCTTAGGCAAACAGGAACTAGGGTTAAGAGAAAGCATGCATCAATAAACTCCTCATTAGCCATTATTGGGTCTTAAACATCATTTAGATCACCCCTAGCTCTGAACCTAGAAAGAAATATTTTGGAATTTCTACTCTTGTCTTTATGTGGGAGAATGCAAAAATTCTACAGCCAAACAAATTAGAGTGTAATTGAAATAGCATGTTACTAAGGGTGAGCAGACTGAGATTTCCTTCCAACTTTGCTCTTCATTAGCTCCATGACCAAATCTCCGGGAGATTTAGCTCTATTCCAATCTATAGGATGAGGGGGAAGTGTTAGATGTCTTCTAAAGATCCCTCCATTTTGCATAACTTATGTTTGTTTCATTACTATACTTTTTCTATCTAAGTTAAGTTATTCTAATTATATAGGGCCTGCTTCTGTTTTAGGGAGTACATTAATAAAATGCTAGCTATGTGTTAATCATCTTTTATGCTATATTTAATCTATGTAAACATTTAATCTTCCTCACAAACCTATGAAGTATATACTACTATTATATGCATTATATGCATATAAAGATGAGAAACCAAGTCACAAAGAAGGTGAATAATTTTGTTCAAAATCAAGTGGCACTCAAGTGCTATATTTCAAAGTCCTACCCAGGCAGTTTGAATCCATAGCTTGTTCACCTAACATAACCATGCATGTCCTTATTTAATTCCCTCCAGAATGTTCTCATTTTGTCTTTCACTTCCTGAAATAATTTTCTTGGTGTTCTGCGGACATTACTCTCAGTCAACATTTATACTTGTAGCTGAAACTGATAAGTAAAACCAATTAAAGCATTAATTATAGGCATAAGATTTCTCTTCAGTGAAGGAATCTTGAAAAAAATCCATAAAATTTTTGAATTGCTAAGGATTCTAGATAACAGTATTTCCTAATTATGGCATGAGGTAGTAATAGAGGTTAACTGTAAATAAAAGTTTCCCTAGTCACATAACTTAGGGAGAGATGTTGAATCAAAATGAAATAGGTTTCTTTTCTCCCAGAATTGTCAGCCCCTTTATTATGCATATGTGCACTATGATTCTCTCATAGTTTGTTACAGTACTTAACATTTCCCAAATCCACATGGCCATAAGTATCATTTTGTAAGGAAGGAAGAAATGTACAATTTTCACAATTGCAAGGAGGAACATTTTCTAGGAAATAGTTGGGGAAACATCACCTTAGATATTATTTATACTATCCATTCTGTAACTCCCTTCCCCAACTAAACAGATAAGGGATCAAGTCTGTGAATGAGAACATGACTTACCCCAGCCACATGGCTGTTGGAGACCGAATTAGAATTATGTAAAATAGATACCAGACTAGGTATTTGAACAGAGAGAATTTAATACAAAAGAAATTGTTAAATGAGTAACAGAAATAGTAACCACAAGAGGCAGACATCAAAAGAAAGATGGTAAAGTTAACAGAACCTAGAAACTTGGGTGGGGGACCTTGTAGATCTGGATGGTCATCTGAAAAGAGGACACCACCTGAATGGCAATAGTAGCTCAGCAGTTCAGAGAAGGAAACCCCAGGGCTGGGAATCAGACCTGCAAGGATAGGGTGTATCACAGGTGATCAAAGGAGGGGCTCCAGCTCAGACCGCTGAGGTCTGCGCGCACGTGCTGCTAGCATCTCAGGAGAGCGCACAACACTTGCACATTGGGGCTCAGACAAGCAAAGAGATGGGGCTGCTTGGCTGAAACAGATACATTTGGGATCAGAGAGGCTGGTTCTGGGAGTGCAAAAAACTGGAGACTGGCATCAACTGTTGTTAGGTGAAGGGTAACATTAAAAGCCAAGACAAGCTGACAAAAGGGAAAATGTTCCTTTCCCTTTTTACCTGTTTTCTAGCCTCTTTCTAGTGTCTCTTATTGGAAGGACCTGACAGAAATC